ACTCCCCGGTCCGCTCGCCCAGCGCCCGCTTCGAGCGGCTGCCGCCCCGGGGAGAGGAGATTTACGCCGACCCTGCCACCTTCATGATGAGGCGATCCATCAGTTCTCCAAAGGTAAATGCCCCTCGGCGCTCGGCGTGCTCAGGGTTGGAGGGGCACCCTCGCCAGGGACGTCAGGGCAGGGATGCTGCAGCACAGCTTGTCCCCTCCGCATGCACAGCCTGGCCTCAAAATGCCTCCAAGTCCGTGGCTTGCAGAAGCTGATGGCTTTAGGTCCCCCCTTGCTGTCCTGCAAAACTGCCCAGGTTGCGGTTGTTCCCTCCTGGCTGCTGCTGCGCTGCTGCAAGCCTGGAGAAATGGGGCAGGAGGGGATGGGATGGGAGCCTGGGGGTCCTCAGGGCCACCACGAGTGATGTGCTCCTGAGCAGGGAGCCCTGGTGTCCCTGTCTCGCTGCTGCGTGCCCCAAAGCGGGGCTGGGGTCTGCCCTTGCATGTCTTTTCTGGCCTCTCGCACACCTCTCATGTGTCTCTGGTTTTGGGGCGGGGGGCACTCCTCTCTTCTCAGTATGACTATCTGGGTGACAGACGGCCCGTCCCTGCGGGAATGTATCCGTACCACTACCCGGCATCCCCCACCGTCCATGACAAAATGGTATGTACGCTGATGGCACCGGGGGGGGGGTGAGCCCCGGCAGACCGGGGTGCGCAGAGTCCCCCGGGGAGGTGGGCCAGCGCGGGGGGCTCCGTGCTCAGACAGCCGAGGAGGAACCGCTCCGCTCCAGGGGCAGCTTTGTGGGTCAGAGCTGGGATGCTCTGGGGCAGGTCAGGACCACAGGTCCTTTTACTGGTGTCTCTGGTCCCTCCCGGCCACACCAGAAGGAAATCCTTGTGGAAAGGCCCCCGGTCCCTCCCCTGGTCGAAGGGGCAGTGGGACACCCTCGGACCCTGCCGTAAGCCCTGCGATGCTGGGCTGGGCTCGTCACCCCCAGGGTGGTCCCTGGCTGAGGCTGGCGTGCACCCTGCACCTCTCCCCCTCTTGCTTCCTCACATCTGGCTACAGCTGCTGCTTCATCCTGCGTCGTGTTTCCCCTCGGAGCGCTGAGGGGCTGGAGCTGGAGGGGTTAGACCAGGAGGTCCCCCCCCTGCAGAGCACGGTCCCCAAACTGTGGGGCAGGCCTGGCCATTGGAGGAAGGAGAAGCACGAGTTACCATAAGCCACCCATGCTGCCATCCATCCTCGCTAGCCGGAGACGCAGGGAAAGGGCCGTGCCTCTTCTGAGGCACCGGTAGCCGGGAGGGAGAGCCGGGAGGAGAGCGGATCTCCCGCAGGACACATCCACGGCAGCTCTCCCAGCTCTGTGCCAGGGAGGTGCCTCGCTTCCCCGGCTGAGAGGGCTTCACATTTCCGTAGCCTTCACCTAACCGCTTTGCTTCTTCTTTTATATGTTTTGTGTGTTCGTTTCTTGCCGCATGCCTGCTGGCTCCTGGTAGGATGAACTTTTAGACCTTCAGTTGCAAAGAAACCTAGAGTATTTGGACCAGCAGGTAGGCAGAGCTGGCTGCAAGCCTCACGCTGCTTACATCCCCGTGTGCCCTGTCCCCAGCGGCATCCTCTTCCCTCCCAGCGCAGCATCTCTTCCTCTAACAGCCATCCTCACCCTTCTTGGCATTCAAGCAGCACGAGTTGTCTTTGGTTTGCTTCTTCCATCCCTCCCGTCCGTAGGGTCCCTCATTGCTTGGCAGAAAAATCCCCCTGACAGTGCCTTCTGTGTGGTGGGCTGGAGCCGGTGGCGG